GGGACATTTACTGCTAGGGAAGCTGAGGCTGTTCTGCCTCCTGCTGGAACCCGGCTCCACCGCCGCGTAAAGGGAATGTGGCTTTGGCCAGCGCCTTTCTCTCTGCCTCACTCAGCCTGCTGGTCTGTAGAATGGGCACAGTGACTGGTTTGAAAGGTCATTCCAGATGATTCCATCTCTCATGCCTGGTGGGTGAGCTGAGGAGGGAGGAGGGGGAGGGCTTGGGGGCATCCAGCCGGCCCCTCCCCACCGCAGAGCCTGCCCTCCTCTCCCTCCCTGTCTGCCTGCGAGGCAGGGGGCGGGATCCCAGATCCTGGGCAGGGGGTTCTGGGGCTGTCCCTACTCAGCTCTTGAGGTCTATAGGAAGGGGCTGGTTTGGGGACACCCAGAGTCACGTTGGGCACCGAGCAACCCTGGATGTAGTCTACCCTCCTCCATGCATCCCTGTGGGGGCCTACGGTGTACCCCAGACTCCTGCCCTCTCTCCTGGGTGTCATTTAATTCTGCTCATTGCTCAGATGAGGAAACTGAGGCTCAGACCCTTTTGCCCAGGACCAGTGAGGGATGGAGCCCAGGTGAGGCCCAGGTCTCCAAGCCCCCTGACATCCCACTGTCTGGTGGGGCTGGGGCGTCTTTTCGGGGGGTGTCTGTAAGAGGCGTGGAAGCCCGTGCAGTGGGAGGTGAGGATGCTACAGAAGGCAGAGAGGTCTTTAAGAGTGGAGGTCCTGAGTGCTTGTAGGGGGTGGACAGTGTCCCTGGGGGAAGACCCCCGGATTGGGGTCTCTGCAGCCTCAGAGACCCTCCCCCTCCCACACCTCCCATTTCAACATGTCCGGGAAGGTGGCAGCTCAGTGGCGCAAGGCGGTGGGGGCGGGCAGGGCTATATTAGCCTGGGTGGGGGAGACTGTTCTGCCTCTTTAGCCTTTCCACCCCGAGACCCCCAACCCCTAGTGACCCCTGCTCGCCCACTGCCAACTGAGCCGCACTGTTACCGCAGCTGTTACCGCACCAGGCGGCGTCATCAGCATCGAACGCCAAAAAGGGCTCTGGTTTTTGTCCTTAGGACAATTTGTTCTGTGTAGGCACAAAGCATCCCATCCGTCCCTGTCCCTCCCTGCCTCAGTTTCCCCCTGACTCATCTCCACCACCCTCCAGGGATTCTGGGCTCCTGCTTTCCCACGGCACCAACAGGAGGAAACTGACCCTTCTTTCAACCACCTCTGTCTAAAATTTTGTTTTATGGATATATACACACATTTTTTTTTTCTGATCAGTTACAAAAAATACTTTTCCTCCGGAGTTGCAATTTAAATGATATTTGAAGACGGCCAAAGCTATCGACCAGGAGACGGTGATGAATTAGAGACGGTAATTCGAATTCATCGACCGCCCCCACCCCCCCAGGAGTCTGCCTGCCCCTCCCCCAAGCCCTCTCCCATAATTACTGTTGGGGCTGGAGGGCTTCGATGAGGAGGCCGCTTCCACCCTGCGGGACTCCGGGGACCCTGGGGTGGGTGTGAGGTGAGGCCCCAGCCCCATGAGTGCTGGGTTGGGGTCTTGGCTTGGCCTAGAGGGGCCCAGAATCTCAGAGTGTCACATCCAGAACCTGGCTCCACACACACTTTACAGATGGGTAAACTGAGGCACACGGGACAGGCAGTAGGGCCCAGGACTCCAAGGTCTGTTGTGGGGTTTCTTGGGTGCTTTGGTGAAACAAAGAAACCACCCATTCCCCTCTCTCCCTCACCCTGCCCCCTGATCTGGGAAGGAGGAATGAGTCTGCACTTCCACCCCTGCTGGGGACAGAGGCCCACCAGGCCTGGGTACAGAGGAGTCTTCCAGCCACCCAGCTCTCTCCCCTTCTGTCTCTCCTTTTCTTTGTCTCTCTTTGTCTCTCTCCTCTCTTTTTGTCTTTCTTTTCCTCTGTTCCTTTCGGTGGCTTTGGTTTCTTTTTCTCTCCCCACCCCCAGCTCCTTTTTCTCTGTTTCTGTCTCCACTGTGTTCTCTGTCTCTGTCTGTCTGTCTCTCCCTGTCCCTCTCTGACTCTGCATCTTCCCCTCTGTCTGTCTGTCTGTCTGTATACACGCGTCTTTCTCCCTCCGTGTCGCTTTCTCTCTCCTGGCCCCGGCGCCACTGGGGACACCCCACAGCTCCCCGGCGAGGGGCGAGGCCCTGGCGGGCGGCGCGCACGACACAACACACTCCTCCTGAAGTTGTCGGAGGAGGCCTAGGGAGGCGCCGCGTGGTAGGAGGAAGGACAGCGAGTCCTCCCCCTGCCAGGGTTTGAATGCTGTGGAGGGGACAGATTTCTCTTTCCTAGAGCGCGAGCGCGACCGGCACCAGCAGGTGCTTTGGCTGTCGCAGCGCTGGCGCTAGCTGGAGAGTGGGGATGCCCCGGCCGCCTCCCCCTAACCGCCGCTATTTGCCGCCACTTAACCACTTTTCATTTGCGCAGCCACTGGAACTAAAGGCCTTGGCCAGAGCCTAATCACCCCGCAGCCCTCACCCCGCCACCTCTAACATCCCAGGCGGAGTCTGGTGGTGCAGACATGGCCCCCTGCGTGCCAGAGGGGCGGCAGGTGCCCAGGGCTGGGGCCAAGCCAGCCAGTGAGGGTTTGCCAGGCGGGTCAGCAGGGCCAGGGCATGGGCAGCCGCCAGGCAGAGCCGGGGCACAGGCGGGATCATCCCTGTTTATTGTCCCCAACACCCCAGCATCCTGCCCAGCCTCAGTGCCTTCCCCCCACCACCCTGTCCTCCATGCTCCTCTGATAAGGTGGCTATTCTAATTCCCATTGCCTAAAAGGGGAAACTGAGGCTCAGAGAGATGAAACTGTTCACCATTGCCAAGAAGCCCAGCGGGCAATACTGGGATGCAAACCCGGCCTCAGTTTCCCCATCTGTAATTGCACTTGTGGCAGGAAGGGGAACGCTGAGGCCTGGGTGGCCATCTGGTGGGCAGAGGCACACACAGACCCAGGGATTGTCACTGGGTGGTCTCTGCACAGGGCAGGTGCTGCTCTCCGGGCAGCAGGCACCCACCCCCAGGGCCCTCTCCCCTGCAGTTTCTCATTCTGTGACGCGCGCAGGCAGATCTTTCTGGATCTTTGGTGTGGCCCCCCGAAATGGACTATTCAAATCCCACTCATGGGTCATGCTAGTTACATAAGGTGACAGTGAGAAGAATGGAGAGTGGTATGGATTCCGGGGGGACTGGCGAGGGACACAATGTCCCCTAAATATGTGCATTGGACAGGAGACTGCAGGTGGTGGGTGTCCCCATGTATAAGCCACCCGGCGCTGGGCGCTGTGGGGTGGGTGAGAGCGACAGGGTCTAACAGGTTAGAGCTGTGCCTTTAGCCCACACATGGGGCGCCCTCTGCCCCCCCCAGGTCAGCACACTGCAACTGCAGGCCGCGGCTGTGTGTCACGACTGAGTGGCCACGGAACACATGTGCCATTGCGTATGTCACCCACGGGGAGCAGGACAGAGTGGGTTCTGCCCTTGACACCGTCCAGGTTCCGGTAGCCGTTTCTAACACGTCACAACCTCCCCCGGCACTTGGTTACTTGCCCCAAAGTGGAGACTTTAAGAATCCCGTAAGAGGTTCCAGCTAATCACCTTACTCTGCAGAAGGGGAAACTGAGGCCTGCCTGTGGGTACAGGCTCCTGGAGGTTGCCCTGTCCACCTGGGGTGGAGGGAGGGAGAGGCTGGCTGGGGAAGAATGACCCAGGACCCTCTCCAATCCCCAACTCGCACCCCCTCTTCCACAGCCCCCCTGCCTGACTGGGCCAGCTGAGGGACACAACTGGCCCCCCCAACCTCCTCGTTAGTGGGGCGCCTCCCAGAGCCCCCGTCTACCCCCACCTTTCTCGCCCTTGTGCTCAGAGAAGCTATCGATCGGGCGCCAGCCGCGGCAGCTATTGTCCCTGTGACCGGGGTGGGCAGCCCCCTCCCCAGCACCTCCAGGGAAAGAGACCCCCCCACCCGGGCCAGGGGGTTCCCCTGTATCCCCACACCAGCCCCCAGGAACTGGGGCCTGGCCGGGCTGCCTCGCTGGGGGCAGGTGTGGACTTCGCTGTTGTCAGCTGGGAAGGAGGAGGGAGCGGGGTCCCCAGGGGGCCGGTGGCTGAGTGTGAGAGTGAGACAGAGACGCGGAGGCAGAGAGACAGGAAGCGAGAGAAAGCATGGGGAGAAACAGGAGGAAAAGGGAGAGCAAGCGACAAATAAACAGAGTCTCGTTTGTCCCGATAGATGGAGGAGAGAAGTAGAAACCAGAGACACAAAACCAAAAGGCAAGGCAGGCAGCGCGGGCGCCCCGGAGGCACGAGCGAAGTCACCGGGTGTGAAGGCCTCCGGGCAGCCCGGGCCGAGGGTCCTGCGGGCCGCCCCTCCCCCGACCATTCTCGGGCGACCTTTGCCAGCGGCCGGAGCGGGGGAGGGGGAATCGATCGCGGAGGCCGAACTACAAAGAAGCGCGCGCTGGGCCGGGGGCTGAGCGCGGCCCGGCCTTTGCTGCTGTGGCGCTGGCGCCCGTGCACCGTCCCGTCCCGGAGCTCTGTGGCACCCGGCTGGAGGCTTAGCGGCCCCCCTCCAGGGCCCTTCGGGAGGAGGGGAGTGGCACTTCAAGCTGACAACAGCGGCTCGTCGGGGGACACAGTCCCCCAACGCGCTCGTGTGTACACACACACACACACACACACACACGCACACACACAATGAGCTACCCTGAGCGCTGTTTCAGGGAGATGCCTGGACCCTCCCCGCAGTCTAGAAGGAACTAGAGAACCCCTAAAAAAGGGCAGAGGAGGCGACGGGGTTGGGGGTGCGGGGAGACGGCACAATCCCTTTCTCCCTTTTGGCGACGGTACAAACGGGCAGGGACGCAGATCGCAGTCTAGCCTCCTGCGAGGGGGCCTCAGGCTGGCGGGGCGCACGGTCGGTTCTGGGGAGCCCCGGGCCGCCGCCCCCGAGGTCGGGCGGTGCGAACCGCGCTCCTACCTGCGAGGCGCAGCGCAGACATGCGCTGGAACTCGGGCTCCTGCAGCCACTTCCACATCCTGCGGAAGGTCTCGCGTCCGGATTTGAGCTTGCTCCACGGCTTGGGGTTGCGCAGCAGGTCGGAGAGCGTGCCCTGCGAGCGGCACAGAATGCGCTGCGCGAAGATGGCCTGAGGGATGCTGTAGCGCTTCAGCTCCGCCGTGATGCGCTGCGCCACCTCCTTGGTGTTGATCTCCTCGGCCGCAGCGCCCGCGCTGGGGCCGCTGCCGCCCCCGCCGGGGCCGCCGCCTCCCGCGTGCGGCCCGTGCGCCCC